TATTTATATAAACATTCTCAGACACAGAGGACGAAATGCATCATCTAAGGTAAGTTTTCCTTATTTTGGAAAAGGTTTTTCTGACTTGTTTTGACAGATAAACATTTCACAAAAACTTTTTCTAATTTGTCAGACATCTTTCAAAACTGTTCTTGATATATAAAGATTTATATATATATATATATATATATATATATATATATATCTCGTTATTCCATGTATATAATTTTTACATTAAGATTCACCACCCTTTACAAAACCCAAGGTGCCAGTCAAGGTAGCAAGTTATGTTAGGAGGTAATTTGTGTGTATATGAGGGGGAAGATAACAGTTAACCCTAGCCTTGAAGAGGCTAAGATTGTAGTAATCAGGGAAACATTCTGTTGGGAGCCAGTTCCACAGGGCAGTGGTTTGTGGGAAGAAGCTGCTCGAGTGGACTTCACATTGATGGAATATGGAGGGAATGCGGGTGATTCACTAATATGTAAGTGGCATGTCATTTTCTTACTGTGAAGGTCTGACTTTGGAGGGACCAGGTAATGTAATTAGTCCGAGCGCTATCCGTAGAAGTAATAGTAGAGAAGCAAGAGGTTTGCTACATCCAGCCTGTGGAAGAGAAGTTGAAGGGTATGAATAATTTGTTACTCACAAGGGCTTGTAGACACTTTTGAACTTTATCAAGGCTGAAGAGTGAGGTCTAGGCCCAAATATGACAAAAGTACTCCATTTTGGGCCTGATCTGGCTCTTGTACAGGTAGAGGATAGCATTCAGAATCAGGTACTTACTAGAGCAGTACAGAGAAACCATTTTACATACATCCTCAACAATGTATCGCATGTATATATTCCGCTTGAGGTCAGGTGTGAGTTTCAGGCCCAACAGTCTTTCAAAGCACAGTGCTTCCCCAAGAGGACCCCCCCATTCGTCTTGATTAGCGGCAGTTCAGGGTCACATTGGTGATGGAATGTAACTAGCTTGGTCTTCAAGGCATTGAATATAACCAGATGGTTTTTACCCCATTGGGTAGTTTTTACAATATCGGAAGAGAGATCAGTTGCCAATCTCTGACCATCAAGAGTTTTTCAGGGTCCTACCTGTTAGAAAGGATTTTATGATTGAGAAGATCCTTCCTGTGATTCCAGAACTGGAGAGCTTGTGTAGTAAGCCTTTGTGCCACACCTTGAGATAACTAGTGATATGGTTTCAAGGAATGTTTGTCATCAAGAGTCTCATTGATTCTGTGAGTGATAGTAGTTAATACATCAACAGAGGATTGGAATGACCAAAACCCATAATAATTGTCGCTGAAGAGGTTGTTCTTTTCTATGTGATCAACAACCTTATTGATTATGGCTTCAAAAAGCTTGCCGATGATACTGAGGAGATTGATGTTTCTGTACTGGGAGCAAGGAGATCGCTCGCCCGCGTTCTTGAAGACCGGGCATACACAGGCTTGGAAAGAATTTCTCCTTCAAGCAGAAGTTGAATAATTTCGCTAGAATTGGGGATAATTCCAGGTTGATATTCTTAAGGACAATCACTGGAATTTTGTCTGGACCAGTGGCTTTCTTAGGGTCAAGGCCTTTGATAAGTCTAGAGACTTCACAAGCTGTGATAGTAATATTACTGAGACTCTGCTCAGTGAGACGCGAGAACTTGGGGAGGATCTCTTTCATCTAAAGTCGAGTTAGATAAGGTAAACCTCTTTGCCTCTATCTATCAAGGAAGATATGACCTATGGGCCATTTATGTACAGCCACTACCTCTGTTCATGATTTGGTTGGTGACCTTCTAGAATTCAAGGGACTAAATTTGTTTCTTTTCAACTTTGGTCTACACTCTGCTTGCACATAGCTGCATTTGATGTTTTCTAGAACATTTTTGCAGCAATTGCACAGAGTTTTGAATGCAGTGAGGGCCAAACTACGTCATTCCTTGCAATAGATATTGTAGTGAGTTATGGCTGCAGTGCACTCAGGGGTTGAACCAGGGTTGACTGCTTGGTTTTTGCTAGAATTGGGGGGGGGAGTATAAAACTCTACATTCCAGAAAGGATCCAATCAGTGACAAGGGCAGCAGTTTTGGAGGCAGCATGATTGAAAGTTGAGAGGGGGAGCTTCCATCATGTAAGATGGAAATCTATCCCAGTCTGCCTTCACACAGCAAAAATTCTTCTATGGAATGGTAAATCAGGTGATGCCTTAGGTTTGGCATTAATCTAGACATGGATTAGGGAAAGGTCTGACATGCCTAGTGGAGGTAAAACTTTTGATAAAAATTTATCAGAACAGGAGGTTAGGAAGAAGTAGAGGAGATTAAGCCAATGTCCTATTGTTTCTGGGACCCAGGTAGGTTCTCTGACGATCCGAGTTCATAGGTGATGGAGAAATCTCTGCAATACCTGCCTTCAAGATCGGTTTTGTTGGTGTAGACTAGCCACTCTTTTTATGGGGGATATTGTAGTCACCGCAGATATGAAAACTGGCCGAGGAGAATTGAGTGAGGATATTACCAATCTTCTCAAATATTCGGTTGAAGATTACTATCCCTTCGTCTTCAGGGCAGTAGAGAGCAAAGACAAATGTGGTACTATGGATAAGTACCACACAGAAGCACATCAGGTTCCTCGTTTTTTGCATTCCTGTCATAGCGACACTTATTCTTGATGTAGGCTCCGAGTTCATGGCAATTTAGGTGGTTATATTTGTCTGTAAAAGGTGAGTAACCTGGGACTGTGAGCTCCCCTAGAGTGCTTGAAGCGTTGATACCAGTTTCAGAAAGTAACAGGAGATCTGGTTTAAACTGGAGAAGATGGTGTTCCACTTTTGGAAAGTTGGAATGTAAGCCCCTCACACTGGTGTAGGAGATGGTATACGAGGGGTTTACTTTGGTTTTTTTTTTAGGTTGGGTTATGAGAGAGAGAGAGAGAGAGAGAGAGAGTTTCGAAAGCTCTAAGCCTAATCTAAAATCTGAACAAACAGGTATTTATATTTTAGGAGAGCGTGGGAGAGTGTTGGTTAGGCTGAGAGCTGTTTAGTTCCCCCCGCACATGTTTTAACACACAAATCCAAGTGTGACATAAGATACATACAGAATGAAAAACTTAGGGACAATCTTCAAAATTATCATTTCCCTCATTTTTTTTTTTTTTTAAAGATTTGCTTGTCCCCACTAATTAACACACCTTTTCACATTTTGTTCACCTCACCTTTGCACCCACCCTTTCCCCTCAAAACCATCTCAAGACAGATTCAATCACTTAAACCATTTTAGAAACTGAAAAATTTTAGTCATTAAACTCCTTGGTGTTTTTAGTTTTTTTGTGAAGAAACAAAATTCCAAAACACTGAAGCCGATGGCAGTTAAATAAGGTGGTAAAATATGTGATACTTTTATTGTTAATTATTTTGATTGAGCTTAGTTTATATTCAAATAATGCTATCAAAAATACGAGAGTGGTGGGGAGGAAGCTGTTTTTCAATATGCTAAGAATTTACATCCAAGCATACAATCCCAGACATGCAATTTCTTTTGTGGAGTAAGAAAAGAAAAAAATCTGGCAACATTATTTTTTTTTTTCTTTTCTAATAACAAAATTGATATTCCACCCTCAATTTTTTTTTTAAAATTTTGTTTATTTTTATTTTTTTTTTTTAACAGTGTTGAATTGTCTTTAATAAGATTAAGAATAACCAAATAGCGGAAATTAAAAAAAAAAAAAAAAAAAAATGGAAAGAAGAGAGAAAAAATTCAGATCCCTTCATGTCTTCGTATTTAGGGCTAAAAATTTTGAAAATTAAAACTTAAGTATATATGGAAGAAATGGAAAAGAAAAAAAAAAAAAAAAAAATTATGACAGTTGCTTCGTCAATTAAGGATGAGAAATAAAATAGGGGAAAATAGGGGGAAAAGAAATCTTGATAATCAACAAGAACCACTTCAAGGTTTTATAATATTTCTGTGGCGATCTGAAGGGTTTGTCAGGCGATAGTTGTTTTGCAGATGGAGTTATGGAGGACACGACTGAATAGAGCAAAGAAAAGAAAGATCAGTTTTTCATTGGTTTTCTTTATTGTTTCTATCATAAAAATATATCCCAATTCTTTCGTAAGATTCCTGGTATCAGCAGAAGGTTGTTTGCAAAGTGGTGGAGGTGGTAGAAGTGGTGGTGGTGGTGGTCAGAGTGGTAATAAGATATTCTTTCTAAAACCAAATCCTGCTTAAATTCTTTCATTTATTATTAATATCATTTTCTTTGAGAAGTGGAGGGCTTTTTTTTTTTTTTCCTTTTTCTTGTTAAGGGAATGGATGATTGAAAATAAAATTAAAAAAAAAAATCCATTTTCATTTAGTTTTGTCTTGAAACTGCAGTTTGGTGTATGTCTGCTTGAAGGTTCAAAACAATTCTTATCAAAGCAAAGTCTGTTTTTGTCTGTTTAGGTTCAAAGTGACCAATCAGATTGACCATTATTCCATGGAAATCATAAAAGAAAAATAGGAAAAGAAACTGACTCTTCAGTTTAGACAACTTAAAGCTTTAGTATTTTTTTTTTGTTGTTGTTGTTGTTTTTCTTTTCTTTTTAATACTCACAAACCTAGCTACTGGAGTGGTCATCCTTTCAAACAGTGGATGGCAATTGTAGTATTTGTAATAAGAGCAGTGGTTGTAGTAATGACCGTTGTAGAAATAGTAGTCACTGTTGCATTTGTTAGGAGAGTATTGGAGAGTCAGTGTGCAACAATTGATGGTATCTCATAGACAGGATGCCAAGAGGCAACAATATGGCCTTGTCTGACAAGAAGATTTTTTTTAATTTTTTTTTTTTTTTTTATTCTCTCCCAAGCCATCATTGGAACGAGAGAGAGAGAGAGCAAAGAAAAGATAAACATACCAGAGAGTCCTACAAACTTGGAACAATAATCAAAATAATCTTGAAAGGTCAAGATGATTCAAGATGGGTCAAAAGTTAAAATTTAATTTTATTTCCACTTTGTTTTTTTAAGCAACATAATGGTATGTATTAGGGTTGTCCTTGTCTCGTTCCATATAATCACGGTCAATGAGGCTTTCAATACGCTTTTTGAGTTCAGGCGGCTGAAAAGAAAGAAAAATATTTAGCCAAAATACAGACAGCATTTACAATATTTCATTCAGATAATTTATTGCTTACATTAGATACCCTCTCCTACATCTCATAAGAATGAAATTTTAAATTATTGTCTATGTCATATGATCTATAAAAAGAATACCCGCTCGGCCCGGTGGCTAGGATCAAAGTGTAGTATCTGCGCTTTGTGAGCTGCCGGGTCGGGTGTCTGTCGAACTCTCTGCTTGCAGAGGGGAACCCGGACGAAGCTCTGCCGAAGGGTAGGGATTTGTTCGGGAGGTTAGCCGGAACTAGCCCGCTTTGGACGGGTTTAGATGGGTTTTATTTTTGGCTGGGCCTACGGGCTCAGACATACCCACATTAAAAAGGCCTTGTGCCACATTCGGTCCCCGTGGGTGGATTGATAAATACCATCATCAGCATTGCCCTCATCATCAGGATTGCTGCCTTCTATTGACAGATTAATTTGGCATGTGGCAGTTGATTCAAAAGTCCCTGTTGATGTGGCCATATGCTGACATGAGGTCGACATAGCAAGTCTACAATTTCCTGGAGTTGTTTGATGACACGTGCCATGGAAAACTTCTGTACAATTTGCATCTTTTCTTTTCTTGAACCAAGAGTCTGTATTACTCACACCAAGTTTTTGAATGTGGATTTTCAAAAGCAGCAAGCCATTCCTTGCTTCCAAAGAACCCTGTGCCAGACTAAGTTCAATATAAGTTTTTATTTATGCAGAAGATGCTACACCAAAAATTATTTTAGAAATTAACAAAAACAACGTCTAACATCATATCGGTAGTGTATTTGATTAGCTAGAAAAAAAAAAAAAATTAAAGTCATCGGATAATCTCAGGTCATTCAAATATACTTCATTCATGTTTCCTCCTATTCATTCCCATTACTGATTTATTTATGTGTGACATCAGATAATAAAAGTTGAATAATTTTATTTTTTTAATAAAATTTAATTCTTATTTAGGCTTAACTAGAATTTAAATAGTGATTTTTAGCAAATCTTTGTTCCATTTGTGTGAATTCAGTGTCCAATGTTAGAAAATCATTTTACAAGACAATCATTCAAAACTTACCTTGACAGGGAATTTGAGTTGATTGTATAATTCAGAAATGAGTAAAGTATGGCTGAGTGTTTTACGGGTTTTCATGATACGAACAATGGCAGCATCAACTTGATATTGCCTATCCTGGAATACTCGTTCTGTTGTACTTGTGTTTTCTTCTTGCTGCAAATGCAGAAGTGAGAAAAGAGAAAGTCAGATGAAGGAAGAAACAATTTGAAAACATACTTGGAGATGAGAGGGAGGAGGAGGGGATGGGAGTGGAGGAGAGGGCAAAGAAAAGGAGGGGGGCAAAGAAAAGGAGAGTGGGGGCAAAGAAAAGGAAAGGATTGCACAAACCTCAAGACTTAAAAGAATTCCAAGACTGACTTAAAATTTTAAAGTTTCATTGCTGTGAAAATAAACACACCTCAAATATATACAAGATGAAAAGTACTAAGCCTTACTAATGTGAAAAAGAAAGAAAAAAAAAAAATAATGTAATTCTTATATTCAATCCTATATTGAAAATTGGATAGAACTGAGAAGTTTTCAGCATCCCTGTATATTCAAATCAGAGAATAACTCCACCTATGAAGCATTCCACCCTACCATTACCTGACTGGCATATCAAACAATGAACCCCAAAGTTTATCAATGTACAAAGAGATTTTCATCACCATTTCATAAAAAAAAAAATCCTTAGGAAAAGGAGAGAAATAAGTTCCTGTCTATATTACTGAGACGAGGTATTGTAATATTACTGAGACGAGGTATTGTAATATTCATGATGTTACGTCTGTTGTACACTTTGGCATTCAGGTGATATACGTTGAAATTTCAAACACATGGCCCAGTGGATAAAAGCATTGGTTGAAGTAATCCAGTGACTTGACCCAAACAGTTGTGAGTTCAATCCCTGGCAACAGTAGAGGTGAACAAAAACTTGGCAAGTTGATTTACTAAAGAAAAGTGACTGAAACTGAAGGCTGGAGCATATGACAGCTGAAATATCGTGAAAATGACACAAAAGATGAGGACAATAGTCCAAACAATGTAAATAGTGTAACTTTATAGTAAAAATGTTCTCTAGAACATCCAAGCCATAGAATCCAAATACATGTCCTTTAATATTTTTCTTTTAGAATTAACACAAATATGGTGGTGTTCTTGCTTCTTATGTTGTGGAAAGATTTTTATTGGCAACACATTGATACAGATTAGAGTTTGTAATAAATACAAGAATTACAAAAATTAATCCTAGAGAAAAAATATGGATGGGAAGAGTTACTTACAGTTTCCTTCATTTGAATCTGGTTAATTTTGATTCTGA